CTCTACTTAAGCTCGTCTCTTGGCCGGCTAGGGTGGATTCCAGGCCCTGAGTTGTCTCATTTACCCTCTCTGACCCCATGTGACAAGCAGTGTGCACTGTTTCTAAGTGAAGAGCTTCTAGGCTGTGTGATAAAACCAGGACAGGGTGTGACTGCATCTGGGTCCGTATTGGCTTGTTGCTTGACAGGGTCACTCATGCCCCATGCTCGTTGCAGGGACACTCGTGGGCTCTTCTCCCTCCTTCCTGCCACTGGGAGTTGAGGGCAGGGTGAATTAGGGTTACTGATTTCTGTGCCTGATTCATTCAGAGCCTGACACAGTCTGCCTATTTATCAAACAACAGTGTTGACCAAAACTGCTGAAGACTTAGTGTGAACTCACCCCACCTTGCAGCTCCCAGGAGAAGGGAGGCACATCTGTGCCAGCATTGGGCCTTCTTTCTGTGAAGAACTCTGCTGTCATTCACATATTGCTTCAGTTTTTCATTTTCTCCTTGCTTGAAGATGCCAGACTTTTTTCTTGAATTTATCCTTTTCAATTTAGAGAATATGTACTGATTAAGCTAAACCTGGAAGATAGAGTAAGTTGAAAAGAAATGTTTTTCCTATGAAAGCTGTGATTTGAATGTCATATTTATCTACTTCTGGTAGACTCCCTGCTTTTCTCAGAGCTGGGTGGGACCACAGCCCAACACAGAGTGGAACACACAGTGGCTGCTGTCTGCATGCCATCTGTAGGGATTGCATCCTCACCCCAGAGACCCAGACCCAGAAAGTGCTCTGTAAGAGTGTCGACCTGGGGTCCTTGCTCCTGGACCCAGGATGTCCCAACTTCTGTGGAGCTGGGTGGCCTGTTTCTGTCCAGCTGCTGGCTTGACAGTCCCACTCCCTAGCCTTGGGGTGTGGGTGGCCTGAAGAGCAGAGTCCTACTCCCCTAGCCGTTCAGTGTTATGGGTAGAGTCAGGAACTGGTACCCTGCAAGGACAGGGTGGGGCAAGTATGGTTTTGCATAGATCTGGCTGTTGGCACAACTGTGCATGTTTGTGTATGTGTGTGGACATAGGTAGACATGTGTGCAGTGTGGACAGACATTAGTGAAAGGGTGTGTTCTTCTGATGCTTCCTTACGGAGAGCTTGCTAGACCTCACCTGGGTACATCTGGCAGGATGGCCACGGATCTCCATGGACTTGGGTGTGCACACAGCAGTGTATGTGGCTCGCGAGTCCTGTGTATTCTCCTTCTCAGGGCAGCTCTGCCTCTGATCATGGGTGTGTGCTGAGAAATGTGTGTGAGCTCGTATCTGGCTGGGTGTGTGCTGTCAGGTATGCATGTGTGACTGAGTGAGGGTGTGAAGGCCCCTGTGGGCTGTGCGCATTCCGCCTGTGTGCAGGCCTGTCCTGTCTGTGTTGCTGAGTGCCTCCCTGGGCTGTAGCCTGCGTGTGTGTGTGGTACCTATTTGGGCTGCTGGCAGGTCTTGGCAGTCCTGCCACTGAGCCAGCTCCCATAAGAGGCAGTGGCTGCCCCGGTGGCCTGCAGGCCTGGGCTGTGGGAGTGGGCTGGGCTGGAGCAGGACTTTCTGAGGGTGTGGGTCAGATGTGGCACGCAGAGTTGGGCATTTTAGCCCGACCTTGTCAGGCTCTTCCCTGGCTGATGGGCACTCTCTGAGGCCCTCCTGCTGGGCCCTCTGGATACCTTCTCCCATCTGTCTGAGATGACCACACAGGTCATAAATGAATTCTTCCTGGGACACCAAGAGCCTGGGTGTGTACAGCACATGTATGAGAAACACACATGCTCACACATGCCTATATCTGTACACAGGGACCCCTATGACAGGCTTAGATGGTAAAGCCCTCTCCCTACAAGGCTCTGGTTAGGCAGCTGTGTGTTTGTTCACTCAGAGGACATCCCAGCGAGATCCATGTGCAGATCCTAAGTGCGTAGAGAAGTCACATTCTTCCTGGTTATAGTTACGCTCTGCTGTGGGGTAGATACTGCCAGATACAGGGCCCCTGGGCACTCCCAAAGACCATTTGCTTGTTTGTCAGGTGCTCACTGAGCCCAGCACCATGCTGGGGGCTTGGTAGTTGAAGGACCATGTGGCACCATCCAGGGAGCATACGGCTAGGAGCTAGATACAGGCCAGGCCAGCAGGCAACCATAGTGATGGGCTAATGAGGTCACATCACAGTTGAGGTGGCGAGGAGAACCCTGTTTTAGATGGAGCACCCAAGAAAGGTGCCTGTAGTTACTGAAGCCAAGAACTGATGCTGAGGAGCCAGCCGTGGAAAGGAGGCATGGAGAGAGACATTTCTTGCTCGGGATGGGAGGGCTGAGGCAGAGCAGAGGTAGAGTGTGGAAGAGGAGGTGCTATGGTTGGGATGAGCATGGAGAGAACCCAGAGTCAGGGCAGAGTAGGGCCAACTTAACCCCAGATGGTGAGGATTTGGGACATTGTGGGTAGGACAGTGGCCATTTGCATACATAATGTGTGTGTATTATGGGGACCTGTGGTACTGACCCCAGGTCAGCCTATGCTGCAGGACTCTCAGGGAGAGACTGGCTTGACCAGATGCACATCCTGGTGAGCAAGCTTGGAGAGGCTACAGAGAGCCAGTCATGGGGCTGCCTTCCCATAAAGTAGCCAGGCTCTGGGATCACAGACAGTGACTGGCCACAGTCCAGCTCTCCCATCTGGAGAGAGTAGGTGTGGGAGTCACCACGGCCTTTGTCCCCTCATCTGACAGGTGAGGGTGGGCCTGGAACCCCCTCAGGTTATGGCAGAGATGACAGCCACAGTGCCCTGAGGCTGATGAGGGGTGTCTCGGGGTGAATGTGACCTGCAGGTCGTATCTACAGGTAGGGTGGCCTGAGTTCTGGGCACCTGCTGGTCCCTGTGCCCTCAGCCAGCTGTTTGTTCCACAGGATCCCCTTTCACCCGCACCAGCCTGAAGAGTGGGAAGACGGAGAGCTCATCATACTTTCGGAGGAAGGAGAAGATGTTCCGGTTCTTTATCCGACGCATGGTGAAGGCCCAGAGCTTCTACTGGGTGGTGCTGTGTGTGGTGGCTCTGAATACGCTGTGCGTGGCAATGGTGCACTACAATCAGCCACAGCGACTCACCATAGCCCTGTGTATGTACCCGGGGCGCTTGCTGCGCTGACCCAAAGCCCAGTCCCATACCCAGGGGCGGAAGACCTGTCACGACTGCAGGCCTCGCCAGCCCCTGTGCCCTCTGCTGGCCTAGGCTGTGTCCAGGCTTTGAGTGTGTCTCTGTCCCTAGAGGCATGTCTTGGCTGGTATGATACAGGTCAAGGGGTTCTGGTTGCCCAGTTGGTAGGGCGAGCTCTGAGTCATTCTCAAAAGAGCCTTAGACCCAGAGCCCCGGTGATCTTGTGTCATGCTCCTTCTACCTTGAGACTGTGGTTCCTGCCCTAGAGTTCTAATTTATTTATTTATTTTTCCATAATTTTATTGAGAGACAAATAGCAATGAGACAGTTTCAAATCAAATTGGTAGGACAGTTTCAATAATTAACAAATTGCATACTCTCTTCCTAGTGGTTAATTGCTGTACAAGATGCGGACATGATATCCTATTTACAAACACTATTGCAACAAATCCCTCTGTTCATTAAGAGAATGTAACTATATTTCTATCCTAACCACTTTGATAACACAGATACAAAATGGACATTCATCTGTATACACTTTTTTTGTTCCATCATTTGACTATTATAGGTGTGTTAACTCAGCAAAATATTCTAAAAGAGTCCAGTAGCCCATAATAGTATTGGGTCTTCCACTTCACTGGCAGTGTCAGAAATTGTTGACCTGAGTCCCCTACAGTGCAACATAACAGCATGGCTTTACTTCTTATACATCGTTTTTATTACCCTAGAGTTCTGAGGAGGCAGATTCCTGGCTTCTTCACTCTCTCAGCCCCTTCTTGTCATTTCTGTTCTCCTTTACATTGGTTGAATAGAAGGAGGGAGCTGACTTGTGTCCTGTGTCCCTGAGTCTAAGGTCATCATGGGGATTGTAGTCATGCTTGTCTTGGTCCCAGCTGTGGCTCAGAGAAGGCAAGGAGGAAGATGCCAGACAGTGGGGCTTCTTGTGCCTGTCCAGAACCCACATGCCTAGCTGACCTCAGTCCCAGGCCTGCGAGCCTCAGCCCTACTGAGAGGTTGGCTGTGCTCACACTGGTTGACATCCACCATGGTTCTGGAGATTCCCAGTAGGGTCAGGCTCTCTCTAAGAGGACCCATGTGCCAGAAGCCACCCAAGGGAGCCTTTTCTGACCTAGAGAGCAGCCATCCTGGCTCCCAGGCCTGGCCCAGTTGCCTGACATTCTGCCCCGTGGTGACTGCACCACAGTCCTGCAGGCAGCCACACCCTGCTGCGTACCAGGAGACCTCCAAGCTGTTGAAGACTGCTTTGCAGACTCGTAAGGTACCACAGGAGGCAGGTGCCCCTAGGCTGCACTGGTGGGAATCTGGCTTACAGCTTCCCCAACTGTGTTTCACTGTTACTTGCCTCATAAAGAAAGAACAAAGAGGCAGTATCCATGGGCACCCAGTCATACTTATCTCAGGAGCTGAGGGGTGTCAGCAGATTGTAGCTGAGGCAGCTGTGTGTGTCCTGGACTAGCCTGCTTGGCTCTAGTTTTTGCTTCCTGGGGCCAGTAGTTTGGTGTCATGACTTGGCTAGGGTCTGAGTTGGGTGCTGCCCTTGGGTCTGCCCAGTGGGGTTGGGCGAAGCCAGGAATCTGCTTCCTCCTCTCTGACGAGCGGGGTCTGCTCTTCCCACACAGGAATGATGATGCTCATCTGGCAGTCAGTCCTGACTGCTGGGTGGCTGCTGCCTGAGCTGGCAAGCAAGCGGGGGAGGGGGACCCTACACAGCTGTTTACACCTCTAGTGGGTGGGAGAACACCAGGCTGGGTTACCCCTTTTCCCTCTCTTTCTGTGGTCTTCTGGAATTCCTGGCCCTGCTGGACTCATTAAGGGAAAATGGCAGGAGGGAGAAGTAATGTTTGCTCAGTCCGGATGTATCTGCCAGTACCCAGGGTCTTTGTTTGACAGCTGGGCTGACCTCATAGGAGGGGGCAGGCTTGCAGTAGACCCACCAGGAGACTCCAGTCTGAGACCGGCACCCTGTCGATAGGGCTCCGTGTACCTCAGCCGCTGTCCATGGAGGACTCAACACAGTGCTCTTCCAGGACCTTCAGAACCCACGCTTGGATGAGAGAAGAAATGCGAGGTTTCTTCATGCTGTGAGCCGTACGATGGGCTGCCCCCCCCCGTTCCCCCAGCATCGGGGCCTCTTACTGCGCAGGACACCATTTTAACTGTCACCCCAGCTCCCCGCTTGGCTGGTGAACTCCTGGAGAGAGGAGTGAACTTTCTTGTGCCAGCTCACAGTGGCACCAGCACCTGCTCATTGAGTGACTGATTTCAGAATGAGTGAGTGAGCGCCCTTTCTTGGCCTCAGAGGAAAGGAAGGTAGGGTGTTTGAGGCTGAGCCAGCTCAGCAGGATGCTGGGACTTTCTGATCTCTTCCCTGAAGACTTCACCTTGGCAATTCTTGCACTAGCTTCTTGCAAAGTTCTCATACCCTGATCCCTCAGGAGGCATGTTGAGGGCTTGACAGGACCCTGAGGTTCAGCTTGTGGGTGACTGGCAGTCCCATCTTGTGCCTTCTCCCAAATGGCCCTATATGCATAGGAGTGTGTGGGCACAGGCAGAGCCTTTCTGATGAGCAGGGAGGGATTTGGGCTTCCTGGCCAGGAGCAACTGGGTCTTTCAAGGCTGCTGTGTCCGCTTGTATCTGCTGGGGTGCCCAAGCTGGACTGTGTGGCACAGCTTTTCTGCCGTGTCTCACACCTGCCAGGTAGCACAGCCAGACCTTGGACCTGGCCGAGCTGTGACCCTTCTTTCTCAAGCAGGCCCAGCCTGGGAGGCAGGGTGTCTGTGCCTCTGCCATTGGCCAGTGGCTTCTCCAGGTAGCATCTCAGCTTCTTTTTCTCCTTGTCCTGTGTTCAGCATGGGAGCCTAGATATTTTCCACCTGCCTCAGAGGCCAGACTTGTGGTGGGTGAATTGCTGCTTGTCCAGGTACTCAGGCCACTGGGGGATGGTTCCTCCCCTCTGTTGGCACAGTGCCAGGTGGGCTATGGTGCCCGTGTCGCTGCATATCCTGGATTAGGAATGTTGCCCCGTAGGGAGAGGCAGGTTTCAGGGTGCACAGGGATGAGAAATGCATGATGTCACCTCTGTTGGTTGGTGGGGTTTTTTTGGCAGAAGCGGGAATTGAACTCAGGCCCTTGTACTTGCCAGGGAAGCACTTATTTTACTGAGCCATCTCCCCGGCCCCTTCTGTTGTTTATGTGGGACTGTTTGCTTGAGGTCTCATGTCCTGACAGAGGCCTGGTAAGGCTGCGCTGGCCGCTGACCACTCACTGGGTCTTCTGGTAATTTGCTTTATTCTTTCCTTTGGCTCTGCTCTCAGAGCTGCTGCCTTTGTTGGAAGTTAGGGTGCCTTTGGGCACTGGGATGATGTAATCAACTTATACCACTTTTTTTTTTTTTTTTTTTGGTAGACCTGGGGATTTAGCTTAGGTCCTTGCGCTTGCCAGGGAAGCATTTGTTCTACTGAGCTATCTCCCTGGCCCCAGTGACTTCAGGCAGTGGACATCCAGAGGCCAGGAAGTCACCCTGAGTCTAGCTGGGCTTCACTGGTACTCACCCACTCTGCAGCCTGAGACCTAGCGCCGGAATCACTGTGGAGTCACTGCTTTCTCCTGTTTCAATACTTGTGCTTAGGCTGGGACAGTAGCATTTGTGTGCCCTCCAGTGTCATCATGACCTTCTAGGCCTAGTCCCTGGAGGTGATCAGTGCTGTTGCTGGGACTTCTGGGTTGAGCTCCTTTCTGCCCCCCTCATTCACTGATAGCAAGGAGTTGGCTTCACAGTCCCTTGGCTTGCTTTATTGCCCTGGGGCTCTTGTCAAAGGGCCTCAGTTGCTTGGGTATTGGTGTTTTCCTTCTGTGAGACAAAGATATGATCAAAAACCTGCAACATGGTGCTGTGGAGTCCCAAGGAGGGTGTCAGCAAGTCTTTGTGGAGGCAAGGGAGCTAAGAAGGGGGTTGAAGGTCTGTCTGCAGTCAGAGCATGCAGAAGGCAGTGGTCCACAGCCTGGTAGCCCTAGGCCTCCTTGAGGATGTCCCTGGTGACTTTGTGTCTTGCTTCTGAGCTGGTCCTGAAGCTGTGTCCCATGGGCTGTGGGAACTTATTATTGTCTGGACAGAAATGAGTGTCCCTTGTGTCCCTTTCAACAATTATTTGTTCTGGGATAAGGTTTCAGAGCATGAGCGTACAGACGAGGCCTGGAAGGCTCTGCCCTAGCAAGGCCTTCAGGTGTGAGGTCCTTGGTCTGAGCTGGAGGCCAGGTGGAGCCTAGCACTAACTCCTTCTTCTCTGACTTCTCCTAGACTTTGCAGAGTTTGTTTTCCTGGGTCTTTTCCTCACAGAGATGTCCCTGAAGATGTATGGCTTGGGGCCCAGAAGCTACTTCCGGTCTTCCTTCAACTGCTTTGATTTTGGGGTGAGTGGGGTAACTTCTACAGGATTCCTTTGGGAGTATATACCACACCTTCCATGTGTCTCCTGTGTGTGGGCGGGGCTCCATGGCCCTAAAGGGTGCTTGGGCTGGAGGTGCAGGGAAGTGGCAGAGGGAGCCTGACCTCTTGGCGTGGCGCAGTGGGTGCAGCACAGCCAGTGCCGTCTCAGGTGTCCCCCTTTCCTCCAGTCCTGTTGCAGGTGCATGGTTGCCCGAGGGTCCTGATAGTGCCCTCTGTGCCATGTCTGTGGAAGGGTCAGTCCCTAGCGAGGTAGGAAGCTGTGCTGTGGCCCTGCACCATTTGTTGGACCTGCCCTTTTTGGGGTGAGGGGTCAGGGAAGCCTCAGGGCAGGATGGATGTGGTCTAGTAGCCATGGCTTACTTTGAGTGTTTGGACCAGGTGCCAGGGCAGGGGCTGCACAGGAGTCATCCCCCGGGCCTTGGTAGAATGTATGGCGTGGACTTGGCATACTGTAGATTCACTGGGGGTTCCTGGGCCTTACTGGGGGAGGTTCAGCGTGCAGAATCAGCTTGACTTGAGCTTCTCCTTTCCTGGGCATTGGAGCCTACAGCTGGCACAGCCTCTGCACCCAGTGTCCTTAGATCTTCATGCTGCACGTCAGCAGTACTACAGGTGTGGTCAAGGCACGGTGGATATGGTCCAGCCACCATGGGTGCGGGCTGGGCACCATGTGTGGTTATGCTACTGCAGAGAAAGCTGGTAGCCTGATCCAGGGCCAGCATGTGTCCCTAAGAACAGGTGTTGGCAAGCTTGCTGCATAATGGGATTATCACCAGTGTGCAGATGCTGATGTCTGGGAGTGGGCAGGATGCTGGTGCTCTCTGAATGACAAATCTGTGGAGAAGGTGCAGCAGGCTGTGCATGTGGTTCAGCTCCTACATGCTGCTTCTGGGTGGATCAGTGCTAACCTGTGGTGAGGTCTCTGGAGCTGTGGGAAGGGCACTGCTCTGGCACGTTCACTCTTCTTTCAGTGACTTGGTCTGATTTGCAGTTGACATAAAGTTGGTGGAAATGACTAAAGTCGTAAGACAAGGATAATAAAACATAATCTATGAGATTAATGCTCAGCATTTGATTTTTCAATGCCAGGTGCAAATGTGTGATTGGAGGATGAGAAATACATACATGAGCCTTTGGGTGCTCGTACTGACTGAGCCCTGCGTGTGTCCAGGAGGTTGGTAGCTGTGGAGACAATTCAGTTTCTCCCCTTTACCTGTGCAGGGAAAAATGGCAAAGGGCTGCTGGGCTCCAGTCCTGCCCTCTGCACTTGCTGTGTCTCTCGTGCCAAGTGCTGGCCAGAGTGGTCCTGCCCATGGTCTCTCCGAGGAACAGCTAGAAACATGGACATGCCCCTTGCTCACAAGCCTCAGCCCACCCAAATCTGCAGTACCTAAGATAAGGCTGTGGTCAAACCAAGGGGTAGGCTTGCCCCAGTCTGTTCTTGGTACGTATACTGGTTCCTGATCAGTGGGAGAAGAAAAGATTCAACTTATAGTTTCTGAAATTTGGAGCAACAGCAAGACCAGGATAGGAGAAGTTGCCAGAAGATAGGTTTGCTGGTCCAAGAGAAAACTGCTTAGTAGGCAGGACTAAGACAGTTTCTCCAGCCTCGGAGGTATTTAAGAAGATGTGGGTGTAACCTGGTTGTGACAGAGTTACATCAGCATGTCAGCAGGCCTGAGTACCCGTGATTTGTCTGAGGCGAGAGGAAGACAGGCCAGGACTGGTGGGCCTTGCAGCCTTCCCAGAGGTTACTGGAGCTCATGTGACCTGTGATCCACTTGCTGAGGATCTTCAGAGTGTCAGTGCTTACAGAGAGATGCAGCAGACTGGGTGTGGTAGTGCATGCCCATAATCCCAGTGCTGAGGAGGCTGAAAACATGTTTGAGCTGCATAGCGAGACCCTGTACCAAATACATCATCATCATCATCATCATCATCATCATCATCATCATCATCATCATCAATAGCAGAGAGATGCAGCATGCATACACACAAGACATATATGGGTGCACTGTGAGCATAAATCCATGTACAAATATGGTTTTCCCTGAGGTTGATGCCAACCCCATTGCAGGTCATTGTGGGAAGCATCTTCGAAGTGGTGTGGGCTGCAGTCAAGCCAGGAACCTCCTTTGGGATCAGTGTGCTGCGGGCGCTCCGCTTGCTGAGGATCTTCAAAGTCACTAAGTATGTTACCTGTACGCTTCTAGGAGCAGAGGGCATGTGGGTTGGAGGCAGTAGGTCCAGGAACACGTGGCTCCCAGGAATGCAGCGTCTGGAAGCTCTTTCTGTGTCTCACTGGTTTAACTGGAGGAGCTGGCTGTAAAGTAGCATGTGCTCAGGTGCCACCCCAGCAAGTCTCGTAGGGCCAGATGTGTCTCAGGGTTGCTCTCTGCTGGCCCCAGTTCTGACAGAAGGTTCTCCTGTTACTTGCCCTCCTCCCCATTTCATACCGTCCCCTCCCTCGAAAGCACCAGTCTCATCTTCCCAGCCCTCAAAGAGGATATAGTTGGTAGAGAAGTTCTCAGATGGAGGAGTCCCCATCATTTTGCCAAGCTGCCTTGCAGCTTGGTCCCTGCAGGGAGAGTTGGACCCCAGACCCTGATGCGGCCTGAGCCAACCAAGTACCTACGTGGTTGCTGTTTCCAGGCCTGCTTTTTGCTTCTTCCCTACTGGCCCTAAGTTCATGATGACAGTGATAAGACCCTGTTCTCAACCCTGTCCCACTTGAGTCTGATTCTGCGAGTTGCTCCCTTTGCCCATGAGATGGAGTTACAGGAAGGTAGTGTGTTGCAGTTAGTGAAAGTGACCTGGGTTGAGATCCTGCCCCTCACCGCCACAGTTGCACAGGCTAGAGAGAGACCTATTCCGCAGTGTCTCATCAGTAGCAGAGGCTGCTCAGCCTGTCTAACCATAGTTGGGGTGCAGGACTAGCTTGTCCTGAGTTTTGGAGGATCTCTGAAATGAGCAGAATCCTCAGCAGTTGAACCTAGCTGCTGGGGGCCCTGAAGTCCTAGAAGGACCTGAGCTCCCAGGTAGCCTGCCTCTGCTGGTGATTAATATTTTGCTGATCTTTTCATTTATTTTAAATACAAATCCCAAATTATCTGAAGATATGAAGGTATGAATGAAGAAGAGGTTGAGGCAGTGTTCAATCTAGTTTGATCCACAGACATACCCTGAGTTTTCTGGAACAAGTCCTCAGGCCTCCACTGCCTTTCCATTGCTTCTAAAAGGGATGAAAGAAATGGCCACAGAGACTAGCTTTACCTTGGCCGTGGGCCCACGTTTTCTGTCAGGAGGCTGGTGACCCTTGTTCTGAGGCAGGCTGGCTCCTGCCAACCCAGGAGAATACAGGACCCCTTTACCAATCTTTCGCCATTCCTGCCACCAACCCTCAGGCCCCTTGTAAGAGGATTTAAAGTATGCCTGGGCCTCTGAGGTGGATGCCACAGAGAAGGACACCACTTTGATAAAACTGCTTATTAACTTTTATTTATTTATTTATTTATTTATTTATTTATTTATTTATTTTGCGGTACTGGGGATTGAACTCAGTACCTTGCGCTTGCCAGGCAAGCGCTTATTCTACTAAGCCATCTCCCCGGCCCTCAGGACACCACTTTGGGACCCAGGGATGCCCAGTGAAACTAGCATCTACCCTTCCACCCCTTGTGTTTCAGGCCTGTGGGTAGGTCTCCTTGGGGAACTGGGGAGCTCTGGGTGCTGGTGGAATGTGACCCGTGGACTCCCGGGAAGAGTATGCAAAGGCTGGGCATAGTAGCTGGAGCCATCATACAGCAGTGATGCATCAGTAGACAGGAGGAGGCTTGTGGGTGCTAAGGAGATAAAGTTGCGTGGCACTGTTCCCCAGGCCAGGTGCCTTAGTCCTCAGTGACAGCATATGTGGCAGACTGGTCATGAGGGAAGCGGTACTGACTTATATTCTGGTATAGCTCCTCCTCTGATGGGCTGAGGACAGTCTGCATTGCCTGCGGTGGTAGGTGGGCTCTGGGTGCCTGACCAGACACTGGGGAAGAGGAAGAGGGAGGGACGAGGATGAAGTCTGGGCCTGGCCATCTGACGGTTGTTGGCCTCATTCAGCCAAGGACAGAACAGGAGCAGGTTAAGGAGTTTGGGAGTTAGTCCAGCGCTGCCTGCTTGTGGTCCCCTGGGCCTCAGGCTGAGCAATCTCCTGGGAATCCAGAGAGGAGCTCAGCCGCACAGACACAAACACGCACACATGCACCATGAACATCAGGGCGTAGCAGGCCACAGAGGTGGGTAGCTGAGAGCCTAGAGAGTCTAGAGGAGAGAGAGCATGGTCACATCCAGGCATAGCCCGGGTCTAACCATGTTTCTTCTCGGCAGGTACTGGAACTCTCTGCGGAACCTGGTAGTGTCTCTGCTCAACTCCATGAAGTCTATCATCAGCCTTCTGTTCCTGCTCTTCTTGTTCATTGTAGTCTTTGCTTTGCTGGGGATGCAGCTGTTTGGGGGACAGTAAGTGGGTTGAGGTGGGGGGAGGACAGGACCTGTCCCACTGGGGAGGCAGAGCTCACAGTAGATGGTATCCTGGACCTCTTTTCTACCTTCCCTTCTTGAATGCTCTTGAAGGGGCTGGTGATGGTGAGAAAGCCACCCACCTGCAGCCTGTGACAGTGTGTTGTTGCGATGTGCAGCTCTTGCTTCTGCTGGGGCTGTCTCTGGAGGACTTTTTGTTTTTCCAGGTTCAACTTTCAAGATGAGACACCAACAACCAACTTCGACACCTTCCCTGCTGCCATCCTTACTGTCTTCCAGGTGAGGAATCTGTCTGCTCAGCTTTTCTCTCCCGTTGGTGCAAGAAAGGCTGCCAGTCCCTGCCGACTCCTCCTCAGCTCTTCAGCACAATCCAGCTACCTAAAACCTTCCTCACAGCAGAAGATGAGTGTGAGCTTGGGTGGGGAGAAGCCAGTGCTCTGATGCTGCCCTGAGGAGCTCTCTGGGGATGAGGTCTCAAGCTACCAGAGCGTTTCTTAGTCCCAGGAACCTGCAGTCACCTGTCTTTTGTCTGTGGGGAACATACAGAACTCTTCCGAAGCTCCTCCAGGAAGGTGTGGCGCCTCTGTTTGCTTTGTCTGGGAAACATGTCCACCACAGCACTAGAAGGCCCTCTTTCCTGTGTGGTAGGGATCTTGTTGGCTGAGTGACCTCTACCCTTCTGGAGGCAAAAGGGACTCGTGTGGGCACTTTCTCCAAGTGCTGCCAGGTCTGGCCGTGCCAGGCAGGTAGTGCTGTGTTTCTGCCCCAAGATGTCTATGTGGATGGCAGGTGAGGCCGCTGCGGCTCTGCCCATGGGTACCCTTAGGCCCCCACAGGCTGCACGTGCTCATACTGAACCCACATGTGAGAGCAGCCTTTGCCTTCCACTTTCTCAAAGAGGGGAAGTTTCTTCCACAAATAGATTAAACCAAACCAGGTGATTGGCCATGAAAACGCTTTGGTCCCAGTGGTGTGGCCCACTGACGTTCCTGACAGTGTGCTTTCTCATGCCTTCTCTCATGGCCCTCTTTCTGGGTTCCCTGTGGCCATCAGCTTGGTCACAGCCTCAGAGAGCCAGCTCTTCTCCCAGGGGAATGTGTGTTCCAACCTGCCAGGACCTGGTGCTGTGCTCAACCTTCCTTCTTTCTTGTCCTTGGGCAACTCTGCCTCTCCCCCTTGGTTCCCTAAGTGCAGGCAGCACCAGTCCACTCACTCTGCCCTACCTTCTCTCACTGAGGCATGCATTGCTCTGTGTTGCTCGCAGGCCAGTGGCTTCCAGAGTTCAAGGCTTCAGTGGAGACACAGTAGAGCAGCACTGACTGGGGCCTCACATGGGCTGCCCTGAGGAGTGTGCCCCATTTCTGATTGGGGGGTTCTTCTGTATGTGTCCAGAGCTAAGCTTGCCCAGGAAGCAGGGCAGGGGAATTGGGAGGAGTGCACCCCAGGCTGAGCCATGAGTGTGATATGTGGTGTGGCCATAGGTGGCACCAGGATCCCGGTCTAGGTTGGAAGGGCTGTGTAGGCCAGGTGAGTAGACCTTGCCTACAGCAGTCACAGAGGGGACTCCAGGGAGGGGTGTTGACCCGCTGGCAATTAGACGCTGCTTTCTGGGATCAGAGTCTTTAGAGAGTGGAAACAACAGAGGCCCAGGCACTGGGATGTGTCTGGTGAGAGGCTGGTGGGCTGGGTATGTGAGACCCACAACCTTAGATACATACAAGTGTGGTTCAGCCACCCCGACCTCTGGGGAAGGTTCTAGGCCCTTCTGCAGAAGATGAAAGAGAGTTGGAGGGTACCAGAAAAAGAGCTGAACCACTGGGGGCCAGCCTCGGCCTTTTATCTCCACACAAGGCCCTTGGCCCAGAGGCCTGAGCTCCCAGAAAGGGAACCTCTGCTTCTAAACTGGACTGGGAGTGGGGATAGACAGGACAAGACAGGAGGAAGAAAATAGATCTACTTTATTCATGGTGACCTACAAACAAAAACTTACTAAATACTGACATCCAGGAGAGAACCAGCAGCACCCATGGTCAGGAGGTGGAACCATTCCCGAAGAAAAGGGATGGGAGAGCAGGGGACTGCTCTGAGCTGAGTGTGCTTGTAATCTTCCTAGAGGTAAGGGAAGAGCCCATGGAAGCCCCAAGTCATGGAAAAAGGCATGAAGACAAAGAATAGGTCCAAGTGAAAACTGAATAGAAGTCCTGGAAGTGGAAAATATGACTATTCAACTCAAGGAATAAAGACTACACCCTGGACGTGATCCTAGGGAGAGAGGAATGATAGTTGGAAGATGTGAAGAGCTGAGTGAGCTGCAGCGTGGAACAGATGACCAGATGCGTGGGATGGGCAGGGGTGGGAGCCATAGGAGTGACATGCAGGGAAGCGTGAGTGGGGCTGTGGTTTGGTGGTGTAGCTCTTGCCTGGCATGAGTGAGGCCTTGTGTTGGATCGCCAGCACTGAAGAGGGGAAGAGGGAGAGGGAAAAAGGGAGCAATCCCCACCCTGTATCCTTCCAGGGAGAGTCTTGGAGCTCTTCCTCTTGCAGAGTCCTGGAGCTTTGCTTGCAGAGGCTAAGCGAGGTGGACAGAGTAAGTCCAGACTTGCAGCCTGTGGCAAAGTGAAGATACTAAAAACTATTCTAGGAAGATCTATACAAGAATGACATCTAGTCTGACGGCAGACTTCTCACGAAGAACAGCTGACAGGAAATCATGGAAAGTAACTTGGAAGTGTTGCTTAGTCTTGAGCCTAGAATCCTGAGTCCAGAGCACTGTGGCTCCAGGTGAGGGTAGGAGAGACACTTTCTCATACACATACAGAGAGCTCCTACCCCACCATTGAAAACACTGTGAGCACTTACACATTTAACTATATGATTTAAAAGAAAAGTACATTAATCCAAGAAAAAATGACCCCTTCAGAAGTTGAATAATTTAATAATCTCCAACCCAAGCTACTAAGTTCAGACAGTTTGAAATGTGAACTGTGCTCTGTATTTAAAAAGTTACTGGCTGGGGAGATAGCTTAGCAGCATAAACACCTACCTGGCAAGCACAAGATCCTGAGTTCAATCCCCAGTACAAAAAAAAAAAGTTATTTCCATTTTGCACAGGCTATTAATTTGAGTAATCTGGGAATAGAAAACTGAATGAGAACAAGATCGGGGGGCTGGTGAGATGGCTCAGTGGTCTGAAGCACCTACTTGGAACAAGCTTAGCAAAGCACAGGGACCGCGGTTCAATCCCCCAGCACCACATGCCAGCCGGCCCCTACCCCTGGTGGGCTGAGCTGGCCACACACACACACACACACACACACACACACAAATAAATAAATAAAATAAAAAAAAAAAAAAAAGAACAAGATCGGGTGGCCAGAGGTGGAGGCGAAGCGTCCTTAGGGGAAATAGAGAAATCAAGTCTGGATAGGGTCAGCAACTGTCTGTGTTTTGAGCTCTCCATAGAGTTTCATAGAATGTAAGGTTATTTACCATCAGAAACTCCACAGATGTGACTCATCATATTCCCAGATTATGAAAGAAAATTTTAGCAAGAACAGTGTGCACATGCAGGTGAAATGAGCCTGGCAGCCTGGCCATAGCACAAGTTGGTGCGCTCTGCTTTGTGCAAGTTTGCCCTGCGTGGAATTTTTTTTTTTTTTTTTTTTTTTTTTTGGTAAAAAAGGCACTCCTTCCAAATAAAGACTAATAGCAGATCACATCAGTGTACATGGTCTTATTACCATAGAATAAGGAAAAATGAAATAATTGTTGTCACAGAAAAGCCAAGCACTGTCATTGCACATTAATTTACTGCAGTGACGGCTATGGGAATTAAATGCACCATGAGAACCTTTCGGACCACCTTTCCCACCACGCATTGTAGCTGACGTCCAGAAGGGGAACAATAGGAGTTGTAGAGGAGATGTGGTTATGCTGCTGATGGCTGGTAGAATCCTTAGCAGTGTCATTTCCTAACATCCAGTTCATTGAAGCCTAAAGCCTGCGTGGCTTTCCATGCCCTGGACGGTGTCTTGCCACAGAGATGTGTATAGACCATCACAACAGCCACATCTGTAATGGCAGAGCCTTGGAAACCACCTGAATGGTCGTTGTCATTAGGAGAATAAGGAAAGTTAGTTCTGTTTGTATAACAGGGAAAGTGAATGATCTAGAACTAAATTTGTCGACAGAAATGATCTCACAGGTGTTGAGCAAAATACACAACCTTGAGAATAATGTTTAAAGATGAAAAGCATAAGACAGGCTACTGTGTTGTCTGTAGTGTTCAGCCTATGCAGTGAAGATGTGAAAAGGAGCCTTGGGGCCTGTTCTCCTGAGCGTTAGGTGGAGGGGAGAGATCAACTCTTAGGAAAATAAATCCAGGAGCTTTAACCCTGTTTTGTCTTACTGAGCTGGGGGATGGGTTTACAGAGGGTCACTGTTCCTTGTGAGCACTTAAAAATTGATTTTTAAAATGGAAGGGTACAGCTCCTCCTCCCATGCTGCCTGTTGTGCTGTATCGGTGGCAGTAGTTGTCCCTGCTTCTCCACCATCTCCACTGCTCGCTGTCCTCTGGCCAGCAGTGTTGGGAGGGAGATCGTAGCTGCAGATCCCTTCCCTGCCTCAGCACAGATACAAGATTGAGTAAGAAAGGCTAGATTTACAAGTACTTCTTGTAAAAGTCATCTGTGGAGTAGTACTAGTTGGAATAATAGAAGATTTTACATTATGAGATGAATGGGAATAGAATATTGGACAAAAACAAACTTCGTAATCTCTGCATCATGATTTATTCTCTCTCTCTCTCTCTCTCTCTCTCTCTCTCTCTCTCTCTCTCTCTCTCTCTTTCTTTCTTTCTTTCTTTCTTTTCTTTTTTGCTCCGAATGCCTTTAGGGCAGGTTTGGCTGGCTTGAGTTGTGGGTATCGAACCCCAGCAACCTGAGCCTGACTGCTTTGTTGAAGCAGCCACTTAAAGGACTGAGCTAAGGGGCGGCCCCCATGCGTCATGATTTTCAGCTACCTGATTGTTGTACAGTCTCACCACTTGGGGTATTTCATACTGGAAAACAAGCGAGTACTAGATATCGGATCTCTCCAGTAGTCCTCAGCATGATAAAAACAGATCCTTTTTTTTTTTTTTTTTGTCAACTTAATGAAGCATTTAAAGTCATATGACTCTTAGATGAACTTGAAGATTATTATAGTAGAATGTAAAATCTTCTATTATTAAAGTGCAGGAAGCTTGAAGTTTAGAGCCAAAGACTTGTTTCAGAAAGACGAGGGAGGACTATTTAGAAAGCTGTGGGTACAGGGAAGAAGTTGATTCCAGTCCCAGGCATAGAATGTTTGATTAAAGACTCCCATCTCTAGACTTACCCAAGATCACAGTATTTCACAGACAGAAAACCAGTTACCTCAGTGGTTCCCAGTTCATGACAGCAAACCAAGACTACAGTCTCTGAGCTGCTGTCAGTTCCCCAGGGACTGTTTGTCAGAAAAACCAATGCCCCTGAGCCTCAGCCAGCAAGAATATAATTATGGTTCAGCTGGTGTAGATGCTGGGAGCCTGAGCACCTCCCCTTGGAAACCAGGACTGGTGCACATCAAGCGAGTCATCAGAAAAGAAGGTACTCAGAGGAAGGCAAAGGAAAACCAAACGAGGAGTGGCCCAAACGTAAAGAGGAAAAGAAGTCTCTTAAAATTTTATTTATTTGTTTATTTTTTTATTTTTGGTGGAACTGGGGATTGAACTCGGGAAAAGAAGTCTTGAGGAGGTGGATTTAGAAGAACACAAGAGCATCCAAAGAAAACAGGACCTGTACAGGGTGGCACAGAAAAGCCTAAGCATCGAAAGACAAAAAATAAAAGAAGCCAAGCTGTAGCCTCTAAGAAGGAGGACCACAAACATAGAAAAGAGAAATAGGAACAATGCAAAGAAAGAATAGAGGAAGAAATGCTTTGGCAGCAGTCTATCCTTGGATTTTGAAGCTCTTTAGTTGCCTCTCCTGAGGTTGAAATTGAAAAAATAATGGAGGAGCTTGGTTTTATGATATTTATGTCCATATTGCTTATGTGAACAGATAGTTTAATTCTACCAAAAGGCCAGGTGAACATGAAGTGTTTAGCGTTCATGCTCTCCAACGTGGAAATACTTTTCCTTGTTTTCTACAAGTATTATTTCTTTTTTTTTTTTTTTTTGCATTGGATATAATATCCTTTTAGGAGAGTGGTTCTGGTTTATTGCCATGATAGTAGAATTATTTTCCCTTAGGAAATATTTTATTTTTAAATTAAGGACTAATAGCTTTGCAGAATCTACCAGATACCAAGACTTCTCTGAGGCTACAGTTGTGGGGGTGGTGTGGTATATGTAAAGACAGTGCAGAGGACAGACGGGAGTTCCCAGAAACATACCCAGTTAAAAAAGAAGTCAGCCAATGGGAAAGGGTGGAGTATTCAAAAAATGGGTCTGGGAAAATAGATTTTCCTTACAGAAAAAAATCATTCCACATAAATACAAAGAACTTCAGTTAGAATACAGACCTAAATGTGAAAAATCATGTTTTAATTACTATTAATGCTTTATTAGTCAGAGTCAGATATTATGTGCATGCCTATAATTATAGGTGGAAGGCTGGGGCAGGAAGCTTGCAGCCCTGGGCAATTTAGCAAAACCTCTCAAAAAACAAAACAAAGCAAAACAAAAAAAACTACCCCAAATGGGATGTAGCTCAGTAGAGGAATGCTTGTTGAGCATGCACTGAAGGCATGGAGTCCCTCGCTAGCACACAGAAAAGAGGGAAAAAGAAAAGGAAGGAAAGGTGGGGGAAAAAGCAGAACCTATAAAGGAAAGCTGGCTAAGTAGCTTAGCGGATTAAAGCACCTGCTTAGGCAGACGCAGGGACCAGGTTTGAGACTGGGCGTGGTGGTGTACTCCTATAATCCTAGCGCTTGGGAGGCTGAAAACAGGAGGGTCACTACGAGTTTGATCTGTGTAGTGAGGCCCTATAGACCCTGTACTAAATACATTAAAAACGAAACCAAAAACAAAACAAAAAACAGAATCTATAAAGGAAAAGACTGAAGACTGACACATTTGACTACATTACAACTCTGCCTGCTTGGCACTGGGTGTTGAACCCAGGTGCCTTAGCCCTTTCATTTTTTAATTTTGAGACTTTCCCAAGTAAATTACCCAGTCTGGGCGTGGGCTTGTGATCCTCCTGGATCAGCCTCCCAGAGTGCTGAGATTATAGTTATGTGCCAACAGACCTGGATTAAACTTCTTTATAATACTGAAATAACTGAGAATATAATACTAAAACAATACTAAAGACTTAAAGTATTTGCAGTAGGTAGTGTAGACAGTAGAGTGGTATATGTAAGAATGCTTAAGGAGATCTCATAGATCAGCAGGAAGGTGTGCCATCAGAAACACAGGGTAAGGGAGAGTAGTCTCAGGGCCCAAAGACAGATGGGGCGCCCGAGGGTGTGATGCTGCGATGGGTGGTATGAGGGTGTGAGGAAACTTCCCATGCTGCTTGGGGTGTGGGTGGGATTGGTACGGTTTGGAGACACCCGGTAAAGTCAAAGATGCGTATGGCCTGCTGCCTAGTGATTTTCAAGCTAGGGATATTTTGATGTGTGCACAGGAGACAATAATGAAAAATTTAAAGTGCTTGCAGGAAGAACATGCATGAATAAATGGGAAGAAAGCTGTTGATATTTATGTGAGTAGGTAGATTTATTTGTATTGACATGTGAACTTCAAAAACATCAGGTAGAGGAGTGGTATATGGCTGATACCTTCCTATTCATGCCTAGCACACAGCTGTGTTATAGACAGGTGTGTGTGGCACGCTGCATGATTGTGAAGCTGTGATTGGGGCTCCCTTCAGGGATGGTTATGGGCAGTGGAACCAATGGAATTGTGACACAATGTTAATCTCTACTTTGGGTGGTGGACACATGTTATATTTTTACCCTGTACTTTAATTTTTTTTTTTTTTTAATATTTTAGGGAAGGGTCTACCGGGTGTTCAGGGTCTCACTGCTAGATCGGACTCATAGTGATCCGCCTGTTTACAGCCTCCCAAGAGCTGGGATTATAGGCACACGCCACCACGCCCAGTCTCAATTGCTGTCTTAGAGTGCCCCGGAGGCAGGGCCGGCACAGCTCCCCCTGTACTTTGAAAAAAACAAAAAGTAGACATGTAGGCTTCCATTGGGGCAAGATTTGTGTTTAGCCAGGCCGTGAGGGTGAAACTGCAAGGCCCCATGGCAGAACCTTGGAGAAGGAAGGCCCAAGTCCATCACAGACCACCATGACCTCCAGGTTGGAGGTGGCCAGTATGTAGAACTCTGTGTCTGTGGCTGCCTCTCTGCCCTCGGCTCCCTCTGCCATGGTACCACTGCCTCCTTGCTAGCCTTTGCTCACCTCTCTTGGAATTCCCTTGCCATTCTTGCTGAAAACCTAGAGCATGTTTGTGTCTTAACCTGACCCAGGTTAGTAGCCATGTGCTTTGGCACATTTTCCTGCAAGATCCTAGGCTGCCTACTCCCTTGGAACCACTTCACCTAGAGACCTGTGAGTGTGCCCTGATGAAGGTGTGTCCTGATCCGACCCTGGATGTGTGCACATGCATTGTGCACAGTGTGTGCGAGTGTGCCCTGTGGAACTCTTCTGCAGATCCTGACAGGAGAGGACTGGAATGCAGTGATGTATCACGGGATTGAGTCGCAAGGCGGGGTCAGCAGAGGCATGTTCTCCTCGTTTTACTTCATCGTCCTGACACTGTTCGGAAACTGTATCCTTCTAGGTGCTGTGGTGGAGGAGACCAGTGTGTAGCCCGCTGCAGCTGCAGCTGCCTCTTGGCTCTCTGCAGGAGGACAGGGAGGGGAGGGGTTGTCGGCTGCATGTTCTCAGAGTGAAGTGATGTGCAGGAGGCCCCAAGGTTAGCCCAAGCGATGGATCTGGAGGCCCTGCATCTGGCAGCAGATGTGGGGCAGATGGACCACCACTGGGTCTTGGGAAGCACTCTGACAGTCCTAGGGGCTTCACAGGAAGATAGGAGACTTGGAAGGCCAAGGGCAGCGGGCTTCCTCCTCTGATTTAGTATAGAGTTTTGACACCTGGCTTCATAAACCTCTTCCTGCTGAAAACCATCCCTGTCAAAGAGGTACAGAAAGACTTCTAGGGAGGGCTGGGAAAGACTTTGTCTATAGCCTGGTGATAGAAGGGCATGGGCAGAACCAGGCAGGCACAGCAGCTGGCGATAACTTTTGTTTCATGCAGGGGCCATGTGGGAAACTTGCTGGGACCCAGGAGAATCCGGAAGGGGGGATCCACAGGGTTCATGGTGCAGGCCAGGGTTCATCCAGGGGACCCAGGTGTCAGGGTGGTTGCCACCAGCACAAATAGGAATGCAGCCCTGAAAGGACACCTGTGGTGCTGGTGCTCCCATGGGCAGTGGACCCTGGAGTAGGTATCCCTGTGTCAGACCTAACAGGGCCTCAGAGTATGCCTTACACCAGGCTCCCGGTGCTTCTGGTCTGGGTCCTCTGCTTGGAGAACTGCTGTGGTAGATCCTCCTATGACACTTCAAAGAAAGGCCTGAGCTGGAGACAAATATCTTGTAAATTGTCACAGCCAACTTGCCTGCTCTGAGCGTCTCCCACTTTTTTGCACACTACTCTCTTTATTCTTTGCCATCTCACCCTCCATTCTTCCTCATCTCTCTTTCTGGCTCAGTGACCACCCACACCTCCACATTTGCTTCTGTTTCTGTCCCCTGCTTCCTGTCTTCTGTCTGAATCCCTGGGCTACCTCACCAGGGACTTCTGCCTCTGCAAGAGCATGCTACAGATGACAGCTCAGATCCTGGCCCCCGGGGTGGGGATCTGGTGGGGTATGAGGCCTCAGGAGGGACTGGGTCTTGGGGAACAGGATTTGGTTTGGATATAGGTGGAAATGGGCCAGTGCAAACTGCTATAGAGGAAGGAGGCTGCAGTGTTAGCTCACACTAACACTGCAGGGGACAGTGATGTCCAGAGGATGCCACTGCCCCATAGAACAGTGGCTTGTCCAAGTGGAATCCTGTGTCACTCAGACTAGACATGCCATCTGCCATGTGTCCATGCCTAGTCTAGTCTGGGTGACTTCTGCTATACTTGTGTGTCCCTTTGGCTGGCCCTTAGGGCATAGTCCTTAGCTGTAGGCATGGAAGGGCCTCTGAGTGCTCCATGCAGTCATAGGTGTTCTGAACTTCATTGCATTGGGGATGAAGCTCTCCATACATAAGACATTTTTGGTTATTAGGGCTAGGACACAAGGATTAAATAGATCAGGGATCTGTTTAATGCACAACATCCTATCATTCTTGCCCAGCCCAGTGTGTCAGCAGTGCCATGGTTGAGGCTCCTGAGATGATGAGATGACAGGAGGGCAGGCCTGCAGCTGTGGTCTGGTGGGATCCATGCTGATCACAGTAGGGAGGCCTACTGCTTTTGTAGGGCACAATCCTACAACAGTGCCACTCAATGGAAAGATGAACTCTGGGCAGATACAGCGCCTAACAATGGGAGGAAGGTGCCTTTTGCAAGAACACCATGGTGACTCAAGGTAGTGATCGAGTGAGGGCCTTCCTCAGAGAGATTCAGAGAGGACCTGTGCTATGCTGGGACCTGGGGCAGGTCATTTACTTTTATACCTTGATCTTCTTGTTGATAATGGGGTAATGGCAGCCCCTTGCTTGTGTTCCTGGGATCAGGTCAGGGGAATACAGTGCTGGATGCTCAGGCTGCTTCATCCCTCCTCGCTCCAATATCATTCAGGAGAGCTCCTTGAAGGAAAGGCACCCGAATTCATGTTGGAATTTGAAGTGAAGGGGAAGGGGCAGTGAGACTGGGAGGCATCTGGGAGCCACCGAGGACTAGAATAGGGTAGTCATGGTAGTCGCAGGTAAATTTGTGTGTTGATTGTCTGCCCTGGGAGGTGTTGGAAACCTAGGTAGAGCCTGTGAAAACAGGGATTTGTTGCAAGGCTTTTCATACTGACCAGAATATGGGAGAGGTAAGAACAGAGGCAATTGGGTAATGGCAGCCCCTTGTTAGTGTTCCTCTTCAAAGGCAAATTGACCCAATCACTATAACCTGTCAATGTTAGCTGTAAAGAACTGGATGAGGAGAGGTCCATGTGGCTATTGGGGATATTGGGTGGTATGAAACTGAATAGAGGAGAGCTTAAGGGATTTATGTGGGGAAAGATGAGGGAGCTGGGGCCTGGTAAGTGAAATGGGTTGTGTCTGTGGACAACAGGGACCTGAGGGGGCTGGTGATGCCAAGGGCCAGAAGCTGGAGCATTGTGATTGAGGGAGATGGGAGCCCCTGTTTTCCATGGGCAGCCATGATGTGACTCTGACCTTTCCTTAACTGGAGCCAACCAGACACTCTGCTAAATGTCTTCCTGGCCATCGCTGTGGACAATCTTGCCAACGCCCAGGAACTGACCAAGGTACGTAGGGATGCCACTTGCAGCTTGGGTACCAGAAGAGGCTGGGGGTTAGTCCAAGTCACTCTGGATAAGGTTGCAGAGTTATGGGGAGGGTCAGGCTCTGGGTTATGGTTCCATGTAATTACTGTTCAGAGGAGTGTCTTAAGGTCTGGACAGATGGAGGTTATACCAGGCTCAGGATATGTAGAAATATGGGTGTGGGAACATGAAGAGAGCAGGCCAGGAAGGCAGACTGACAGCTCTCCGAGCAGCTGCCACCTGGGGAGGTCTGGACAGGCAGGAAGGGTGTTTGTCAGGTGGTGCAGACCTTTACCCTTGCCTCAGGAGTAAAGACTACAGAGGTTCCCATCAGAGTAAGTCTGTGATGTTGGGGAGACATCCTCTAAAGACAAGTGATACATGAGGTGGCCCCCAGGGAAGCTCCTCCTCTGCCTCAGATTCAGGGCCTGGCAGGAGGCTTCTCCAGGCTGTGCCCAGCAGATGCCGTTCAGTATTCATTTCTCCTTCTAGAGCCCAGTGGGGGATGTGATTATACATGCCACCCTCTGGGGCTTTCCGTCTGTTGACGGGTCCCCACCTGGTCATCCCCACGTCACTGCCTTGAGCACTGCGGCTACTCACCCAGGTAGCTTCAGGCCCATGCTGTGACTGTGGTTCCGTTGGGCTTCCTATTGCTATTACTGACTGAAGCTAAGGCTTAGTCTTGCTGTCTCAGAGTGGTCTAGTCTCTGGCTGGGCTGCCTTGGCGGAGGGAGCCCATGTGTATCCATGGGGTCAGGATTTGTGTGACTACATAAACTTGAGGTGCCTGAGAGCATTGTGTCAGATCATCTGCTGTCTCTGGACAGGGGTGAGCTTGAGTCCCAAGGTCTTGCTCTTGTTAAGTCCTTCTGTGGGTGAGGATGTGCAGTGGAGACGATGTCCTCGAGGACCTGCGCATGTGGGCATGCCCTCTATAATTGGGTCTGACTTAGGGATTCCCCCACCTTGCAAGTGGGACTAATGCAAGCCTTTCTGTGGCTATAGGGCAGCGTTTCATGACTTTGGACATGACTTTTCCCTTCCCTTATATAGCGGTACCTCAGTTTATGAACTGAATTTGTTTTACAATTTTGGAGAAGATGGCCATGTCTGTGATTGTGTGGAAAAGATGGCCATGGTTGTATTTGTCACCTGATGCAGAATTTTCAAACAAAAAATTCTGCCAAATGCTCTTATTTGCAAGCCAATTTTTTTGCTAACAAGAGCATTCATGAACTGAAGTACTACTGTATTTCCACAAATATAGCATTCTTATTTTGTAAAGTAGGAATAAATTTAAACTGAATTGTTTGTAGGCCTTTAAGAGGACTTTAGAATACTCCGTGGAGTGGTTCAGGTGCCCATGCCCCAGAAGGCTGTTAACCAGAAGTGGCTCTAGGCCTTTGAGATAGATCCTGCTGGGAGTGCTCTGTGCAGACCAGCTCTGTCTTCTCTCCAGGGCTGAGACCTGAAGATCTCTTTTCTATGACAGAAATTTTCAAGCAGCAGTGAATGGATTTAATTTTTGCCATTATATTTAAGTGGATGCCACTTGAAGATATACTCATAAGTGAAATAAACCAGCCCACATATGTAAATATCACATAGTCTCCTTGGTATAAGAACTCAAAAGAAGAAATACAAATAGAAAGGTGTAACACAATTAAAAGGAAAATGAGAACTTGAGGATTGGACAATGAGGAGAGGGCAAGAAGAAAAGCTGGGAAACAGGACAGGGACAAAGCCATACATTTATACGTACAAGATGGGCAAAGCAATGATCCTGAAAACATCAGCAGGTTTTTGAAACTAGCAGTTCATTGGTAGGATTCTCACCCTGACTAACTATACATGCTGATACCTGTGAACCAAGCAACTGTACTGAAGATAGCAATGTGTAATAGAAGGGTCACATTTGGAATACCTGTCATTCTGGTCTTCTAAATACATAATTCTTATCATGACATACCAATTATTACCATACTGTCTCACAAGTAAAAGTTTTTTTTAAAAAAATGGATAATAAATAAAAAAAAGAAAAAAAGAAAAAAATGAAAAAAAAAACACAAGAAAAAGAAAAAAGTCACAGGACTGTCCTACTACAATGTTGTATAGTTAGATTTCTAAATTTCTGTGTAAAAATATGTAATTGTTTATTCATATTCTTTAAATATTTTTCATTTAAAAATTTTTATCTCCATATTCTGTAAGTACTTAATGTTTAACATACCAGTACTTGATGGAAAATACCTGTTTCATGTTATACCTAAGACGTTTGATATTCAGACAAATAGTGAAGTTAAACACAACTGCGTAAGATGTAGGCTAATAATAAGCTTCTCTTCTGGAGGGTTAACAGCCTAAGTTTGCAGACCAAAAATAAGAGAAATAGAAGGGCTGCAAGGACAGCCAACATTTTGACCATAACCTTTCAAGGTCAGTGAAAACTCAGGACATAGGAGAACTATGTTATATACTGTAACATCATGTAATTCAGTTGTGTCCCAAATTTTCTGATCAAGGAGATTATGGAGCCACAGAGCAACGTGATCAATGACGTAGAGTGTGCCTAAGGAGAGTCACCTGGAGAGAAAACGTTCTCTCAGGCTTTCACAGAGAGCAGATTGGTCAAGCAATGGCTGTGACTTATCCACATGGCTGACACTGACAAAGGATCTGCAACCTGCGGTACAGGGTTACAGGATAAATCCTGAGGGTACTTGACTGGCCTTATCAGACACAAAAGTTACATTTCTTGTTATACAGGTTTTACTTTATCTTGGTCTTAACCATCCAGCAGAAAAGTATAAAAACAAGGTACATAAAGTAAAACCATAGTAATAGGATGAGCCATGAAAAGCTCAAGTCAACAACGTCTGTGGATAACCCACTACTATTGTGGACTGCTGGACTGTGTTGGATTGTTTTTTTTTTTTTTTTTTTGGCGGAGCTGGGGATTGAACTCAGGCCCTTGTGCTTGCCAGGCAAGCGCTTATTCAACTGAGCTATCTACCTAGCCCCAAGTGTTGGACTGTTTTGCTGAATTCACGCACCCATAGTATTTAGATGCCAATGGAATACCCATTTCTGACAGGACTAAACAAAAAAAGGCAATACAAAGGAAGGACCATTTTGTATCTGTATATGCAGAATAGTTAGGATAGATATACAACTACTTTCGCTTAATTCAATGAGAAGAAAGATTTGTACTAATAGTGTTTAGACAGGACATTCTGTCTGCATCTTGTACTACAGATAACCACTAAGAAGATAACAATGTACAATGTATTAATTATTGAAACTGTCCTATTAATCAATTTTGAAACTGTAAAAAAAAATTATTTTTTGCCATTATTGTGCTCTTAAGAGCAGATTCGTGGATATTTTGTTAGGGATGCCAGGTCCCAGGGGAACCAGGTGGGCCTTGACTTGAGGGTTTTGTAGCTCCTCAAATGGCCTCTTTGGGGTTGTGAACTCAGGCTGGATGTGTTGATCCAGAGCCCAGAAATGCAACATGTTGATTATACTTATTGACTTGAGGTTAGAATCTGTCCAGATGGCCATTGTTAGGCAGGAGGCAGAGGATCCTGTGTACACATCACAGCGTGTCCATCCTGGTGGTAGAGCCATGTGGAACTTCATAGCCATTGTGTCTTCTGCTGGCCCCTTCTGGGGAGGTATGACCTGCTTAAGTCCAGGGGGAAAAACTCGGAGGTAGTGAGTACCCCATTGGAATGCTCCTGATAGAATCCTTGGGGGCAGTGTTGGCCAGTGCCAGCCCTTTCTTCTGGCTCTATAGGGAGAGAAGTCAGCTTTATTCAAGTGGGACAAGTGCTCCTGAGGGAGCAGGGATAATAAAGAGGAGCAGGTTTGCATTTTACCATTAAATCTGAACTGCCTGGTGCAGAAATGTTAGGGTGGTGCTTAGCACCTGAGGCAGAAGCTCAGGGTGGAGGTTAGGGTGCAGGCTCAGATTGGGTCACTGGCTTCCGAATGTACTGGAAGATGGCATAGTTGAGAAGATCTGATACAGAAGCTTTGGTGTAGTGGTCAATTTTCTCATTGCTGAGACACAATATATGACACCCACAAATTAAAGGAGAAGTTTAATTTGGCTCATCATTTTAGGGTATTCAGTCCATGGTTGTTTGATGCTGCAGAAAGATGCCAGAAGGGCATGTTGGACAGGGGTGCTTAGTTCATTGCAGCTGGGAAGCAGAGAAGCAGAATAGCACCTGAGAAAAAGGTCCCAGGGACCATACTTAGCACTCAGGGTTACATTTCTATAGCCCACCTAGGCTGCCTACCAGGAAGAATGGTCTACCAATCCCAGCCCCAAAGCATTTAATCCATTGACATACTGTAATGGTTACAATCCATCCCTTATCAACTTGATTCTCAAGCACATCTTCTTAAAACCTACTTACTCTCCAGATAAACATTACTAATAAGTCAGCAATTCCCTCGGACATATACAGTTACCTTGTATATAATTAAAAATACAATAAGCCCTTCCCCAAAATCGCAGCAGTACCAGCATTTTTCAAAAGTCCAAGTTTCTTCTGTGACTCAAGGCACATTCTTAGTTGTAAACCACTGTTTTAAAAAAGTTACATAGGGCTGGCCAAATAACTCAGCGGATAAAAGTGCCTGCAAGCAGGCTTAGGGGCTAGGGGTTTGATCCCCAGGCCTGCCGTGCCAGCCCTGCCCTGAGGGCGCACTGAGACAGCAATTGAGACTGGATGTGGTGTCCTGCGCCTGTAATCCCAGCTCTTGGGAGGCTGTAAACAGGCGGATCACTATGAGTCTGATCTGTTAGTGAGACCCTGAACACCCTGTAATACAAAAATAAAAAAATAAAAAAGTTACATAATTCTAACATATAGTGGCCTGAGGTAAACATTGCTAAATTCAAAAAGGAGAAATAGAAAAGAATTGGGTTGCAGTCTAAATGTCTTCTTCCCTGGGCCAGCTCCTGATTTTCTGGTGTCTCTACTGCACCTTTTGCTTTATTCCCCACCTTGTAGGGGTACGTTGCCTGGCTTGCAGGCCTTCCTTTGAAATCTGGTAAAAGACTGTCTGACTCCACAGCTCCTAAATTCTGTATACCAAGAAAACCATCATCATGTAGGCAATGGCGAGATCTTCCACCAGTGCAGACAGTGCTTAGATGGCTAAGCATGGTGAAATGAATCCAGGAACCAGTTCCTTTGGTGACCCTTCTTTAGTAGGGAGTATAGGGGCCTTCTTCTCAAATGAACAATTTATTACACTTTTGTACATTTGGACCTGTGATAGGTGGTGTTTTGATGATTCCTGGGATGCCTGCAAGGTATCTTATTGAACTTGTACAGGTATCTTGTTTCTTTTGAATCATGCTAATCTCTTTGGTAGCCACACTATTTTTAGTCTCAGTTTTACATGTAGTTCCTATTGAGCCAAATGTTAAGTTTTTCAAATTTTTTTTGGCTTGCTTTTTACCCCTGAGTCTCAGTATAATTCTGACTAAAGACCAGTAGTAGTACACATCACAGCCTGACTGGGGCTGCTTTGAAATTTCTATCATCAGATCAATTAGTCTACTGCCCTTTATCTTAGTCTCTGGAAGTCTTGGGATATGGGTAAAATGTAAACAGTTGTACTATATGTGGTCTCTAGGCCAACTGAAAATGAAATCTTGTTCCCAACTGAAACCTGTTGAACCTGGCTGTTACATTCTGATCTTCTGAGCTTGTTTATCAGATTCTCCTTACGGCATTCTAGAAATTCTCTAGCTCATATCTCTCAACTTTTTCAAACTATTCCTGCAAACTAGTTCCAAAGACTTCTGAATGACATAGTCAGGTATATTATATCAATGACCCTTATAGTACTTTTCAGGTGCCAGTTTTAGCTTCCTATTAGCTTCTATTAGCTTCCTTACTGCTGAGACCTGATACTGACCCTCACAATTGGAGAGGTTTAATTTGGTTCACAGTTTTAAGGTATCCAGTCCATGTTGGATGGCTTCAAGGCAGAAACATGACACAAAAGCATAGCAGAGCAAAGATACTCAGTTCATGGTGGTTGGGAAGCAAAGCAGAAGAACAATGCCAGAGGACAGGGTCAGGAACCACATGTAATACCCAAAATCACACCTCCATGACCCACTTAGACATACCCAGAAGTATGCATTACTAATCATTGTAGCATTTTTTAATCCAATGAAATTGGCATTACAGTTAATGGTCAGACTTCGGAACCATCACTTTTGAGCCATGGACATAGGACAGGGCCCTGAAAGGTACCAGAGAAAGTTGGTGCAGTGGGTCACAGCGGGTCCATATACACATAGAAGCTGGCTGCCTGGCTACATGGTACAGTGGGAAGAAGGGGCAAAGAGACCCTAGGAACAACAGCTGATGATGGAATGAGAATGGACATAGCATTCTGAAGAGATGGCTGTTTCTATTCAAACAGGATGAAGAGGAAATGGAAGAAGCAGCCAATCAGAAGCTTGCTCTGCAGAAAGCCAAAGAAGTGGCTGAAGTCAGCCCCATGTCTGCTGCCAACATCTCCATTGCTGCGTAAGGCTCCTAGGAGCAGATCGTGGGTGGCAAGGGCAGTATCAGAATTCATGGCTGAGCCACACCAGGACCCCCTTCTGGAAACTTCCCCAGAGCTCTCCTTGCCCTGATCGGGACTTGTAAGGACAAAGTGCTCCCCAGGGCGGGGATCGTCTGGGAAAGCGGTGTAGCTTGCTCCCAGGCTAAGCATGGGCAGGGTGCCCTCACATTCAAGGTGGAACCGGCTGTGCTTAGCACTGGCTCACAGGATGATGTTGGAGTCTCCAGGGCCCTCCCCAGACAGAGCTTGTGAGTCAGAGTGCGGGGTCAGCATGTGGCTTCTATGTACAGTTTTTCAACAGAGGTGTTTGGCGAGCCACAGGGTTCTGTGTGGTACTGCGGCAGCCCAAGGGACTTGATGGAGCTTTCCAACATCCTGAGAATGTTTTGTTTTGGAGCAGAAGTCAAGGAGCTTCTGTGAGAGAAGGGTGAATGTATGTCTGGGGCTGAATCCTGAAGGAAGTTGATCTCATTAGGAGGGTTGAGGACTTCAGGGTTTGGGTCAGAGGCAGCAGAGGGCTGGGGGAAGGGCGCTCTGAGGAGGAGGCCGGAAAGCTGGCTGAGCTTGCGAATACAGTGACAGTAGAGCAGAAGTACTTCTGGTGCTCACTCTGCTCTGCTGGGCGTGTGTTAGCATGTGAGTGGGCATGCTGGATGTGAGTGTGTGTGAGTCGTTCGGTCATGAACTTGTGAGTATGTGTCTCTGTGAGGCTGTCAGTGTGCGTGTGAGTGTGGTGCACTCTGGTGGCCTTTCTGCCCTGAAGTTACCACGGAGGTGGCATTTGCACAGATTCAGCTGTGGAGCTTGGCTGGTCTGAGCCAAGCAGAAAGCCCTGGCTATGGGAGAGATTCAGCAGGAAAAGGGTGCAGCCCTCGGGCCCTTGCAGGGAGTCAGGTAAGCTGTGGACATGGCTGTGAAGAGGCTCTGTGATCAGTTTTTTTTTTTTTTTCCTTATCTGGCTAACTCAGTTATTTAGCCATTTGGTCGATTTAGTGCAGCTCTTTGGTCCTGAGGTTGCTGTGGCCCAGCAACATTGCCCCTTCTGCTCCTTCACGTGAGTGCCACACACTAGTAGGGTCTCTGGGGGAGAGATGGCAAGCAGCTGTCGGACTCATTCAGCTTGTTGCCCGAGTGGGCTGTGTTATTTCTTTTTTTTTTTTTTTTTAATTTTTTTTATTTATTTATGTGTGTGTGTGTGTGTGTGTGTGTGTGGCCAGCTCAGCCCACCAGGGGGCGGGGCTGGCTGGCATGTGGTGCTGGGGGATTGAACCGCGGTCCCTGTGCTTTGCTAAGCTTGTTCTAAGTATAAGTAGGTGCTTTAGACCACTGAGCCATCTCACCAGCCCCAAGGGCTGTGTTATTTCCATGTAGCACCTTTCCGCTGTTCCTGGGGAGTGTGCTTGTCCTGTCCCCTTCAGGGTGGCCAGTTCTGGAAGCATGAGGATTCTATCCATTCCCATCTGGACTAGAACCTTGGAAAGGAGGGTTCTAGGGACCTGGGCACAGCCCTGAAGTGTGCACATGCCACTGCAAAGGAGATCTAGGTGCTCTTCTCATCACCCTCAGCCCTGTTGGAGACATCATGTGCAGGCACAGAGCATCCCACACACTGGAAACATGATACCAGCTGCTGGCCTGAGCACCACGGTGGCCGCTGGATGGGAAAAGTGTTCCTGTCCTGGACATCCTTGGTATTCGGCCTCACTAAGCCCTAAGTGTAGTGTCCACTCCAGAGCCAGGTCACAGCCCCATACTCAGCCTGGGCCCCTCCTCACACTGGCTCTGGCTCCTGTAGGCCCAGCTCCATCCACTGCTAGCATGGCCTGTAGCCAATACCCTGATACCACAGGTGGCCTGGGATGACCATAGAGGCCTCCTGGGCTGCAGTGGAAGTGCCAGCTGGGAGAAGCCTGTCTTGCCGAGTGTAGGTGCTGGTGTGAGGCTGTAGCTGCTGCTGTTTCTCAGTCTCAGTAATACTGAGACTGTTGAGGGTTGAGATGTCTGTGTTGGATTCTGTGGCTTCAGCTGTGCCGCTGGCAGAGAGCACGGGCCCGGAGTGCCCCTCATCCTGCCCCTGCTCTCTAAAGCCATGTGTGTTGTTTTGGCTCTGCTAGGGTGGGGTGAGGAGGGCACATGAGGTGTCAAGAGGTCTTCAGTGCTTGAGTCACTTGATGGACCCCCCGAGGAAAAGAGGGTGGTCCGGCCTGCATTGATGGCCCTGGGGGTTGCCACCTCAGACCCCTGTGAGGAGAGGGATTCTGGGCTTGATGTCATCGTCCTGGTTCTCTCTGAAGGCACTCTGATCCTCACCGGGCTTCTATATACTGGCATATAATATTCTCGTAACCACTTGTTTTACACACACACACACACACACACACACACACACACACGCACACGCACGCACGCACACACATTCATACACAGTTTCACACACTCTAATGTTCCCAACATGCTCTCAACTCTCCAGCACATGTGCTGTCTCTCCAGCCCTTCCCAAAGGGAAGGTGGTCCGTTCTGTGCTCCTTACAATTATGCATAGACTTTGACCCTAGGAAGGATCCCCCACCCACCTTGAAACCAGTGTGAAGCGTAATGGCTGTAAAGAGACTTCTGGTCTTTCCTTGTTGGAAAAGCTTCCACACTGTCACTGGGAAATGGCTATCACAGCCAAGAGAAGGTGGGTTAGTAGCTGATTGTATCTGTTCCTGGAGGGGTCATGGTGAACTAGAAGCAGTTGGATTTGATCCTGAGGATTCAGGGGGCAGAGTGGAGTGGGGACCAGATGCTCTTGGGAGGCAGCTGGGCCAGTCATACACAGGGGAGGGTGCTGTTGCCTCCTATCCTTGCCACGCCGCTCATTGTGAAGGCTGGGAGCCCACCAGGTCAGTCCACGCAAGCCCTGCAGCAGAGGCTGTTCGGGTTGTAGGAGGAGGTCTCGGCTTTCCAAACCCAGTGCCATTCTTAGGGCAGTATGGCCTGAGTCAGCACTGACTCGCGGCCTCAGAAATAACTGCTTCCCGTCTTCCAGCCATTCAGGGTTTGCCGTATTCACTTTGGTTTCTTTTCTGCACATGTGGAATTGGTTTTCAACTTCTGTCTTACCCTGAGGTTTCTGCAGGTGCCCATTGGATGCCACTTTTCTCGCCTCCTGCCCAGAAATGCACCACGGCCTGTGCCTGCACTGACTGTGCTAGTGTCTTTCAGAACTCTCTTGTTTTTCTCACTTCTGTTTGTGTTTTGTTTCTTGCATGTGCAGCTTTGTAAAGCACACTCGGGGTACTGCATCTCGCAGCTCATCTGTCTCCAGCGTAAATTCACCGTGAGTCGCTCCGCTACGATCTTCCATCTGTGGCTCCATCATTAGTACATGCACACACCTGCCCTCCACTCCTGACTCTGCTTTCCCACCTCAGTCATTTGCTTCGTGGGCAGCTCCAGGCCCACCTTCGGACGCCGGCTGGGAATAGTGGGCATGCCCCCCACGCCCCTCTCTGAGCTCGGTCCCTCCTCCTCTTCCTCCTGGTCTCTACTTCTTTGTTTGCTGTCCGTCTGCGTGTTGCTACTCTGGTGTCTCCAGATCACTTGCTTCGTTGTGTGGATGAGATGCTGCGGGCTCAGCGAGGCCAGGGCCTGTGCAGCAGTGGCAGAGAGAGTTCTTGGGGGCTCGCGGGTATTTACAGCCCCCCCAACTTGGAGGGAATGTTTTAGTGATTCTTGGGAAAATCTGTTCTATCCCTGTGGAGCTCATGGTACATGGGTCAGGTGGGGCCGTAGGAATCCTGGGCCTGACCTCTTTGGAGGTAAGACCAGCCTAACAGGCTGCCCTCTCTTTGGACAGCTTCTCTTGCACGATGCTTCTGGATGGCTTGTCTTCTGGGGTTACCCCTTGAGGGAAACTGTGCCTGGTCTGTGACAGTCCCTGAAGTAGTCAGTTGCAATTGAACAGAGTAGCCAGCGGTCCTCCCGCAGCCTGGTTGTGATTAGGATTGCACTATCTCTGCCCTGTGTGCCTCCCTGGCAGCTAGCATAGCGCTAGGCTCAATATTCCCGTAAGCTCTATTTGCTGCTGTCTTCTGGGGCCCTGATGTCTCATGGAATAGGCAAGCATGGTGGATCCATGTAGTGAACAAGATGTGGATATAAGCAAGAACATTTTCTACCATGACTGCCTCATACATCTGCAGTGATGGGTAGTGGTTTAGGCCTGGAGACACTCAAAGCTCCTTTCTGCAGCTGTCCGCAGTGCCTGGTTTGGTGTGGTGAGCTGTCTTCCCTGGCATGGCGAGGTTGCCCCTCCATGCTGGGCCAAGACATGACAGGAGGAGCTTAGCTGTGATTCCTTAGTGAGTCCTTTTAAGTAAGAACTGCTTAGATTGGAGTTGGCAGCCGTACTGGACTGGAGACTGGCTCATTCTTAGGTTCTCACACTGCTTATGACCTTGGGGGAGAGGAATAGAATGAGAGATTTGTGCTGCCCACACTGGGCAGAAGCTAGTGGGGTTTGTGTGCCAGACAGAGCAAGGCCAGAGAGTAACTAGGGCAAGGGAGGACGACTTAGATATCTACAACGAGGGGAGGCCCACTGTGAAGATTCAGACTTGGCATCCATGCAGAGAGGGCCAGTGGCGCATCTGGCCTGGGGCAGATGCATGGCAGAGAGAATCCAAAGAAGGGCTGGGTGGGCAGGTGGCCTTTGCCGAGTAAGTCAGTGCCCTGTACTGCATCATAGTCATGAGAGGGCCCTATGAGCCCCATGCTCCCCTTAGCCTCACAGATGACCTGGATTGTTCAGCTGTACTTAGGGTGATTTCTGGGCAGGAGAGAGCCCAGCTTAGGGGGAGATTGAAGGCAGAGCTCTTTGGTCTGACCTTTAGTTTCTGTGTATCCCCATCATCTTCACCCTTTGCTGACAGGACTGTGGCCCTGGCCCTAGGCTGTGGCTTCATCTGAGGAGCTTCCTTCCTGCTGACCAGGTGCTTACAAGTCAGGTCCACCTTGGTCTGCTGGATTGAGAGGCTGAAGGTATCAGCCTCTCTGGGCTAACATACCTGGGGTATGCCTGTTCCGGCCCTGTTCCATCTCATACTGTCCACCATTGTTGAGCGATGTGCTCTGTGGTGGTGGTGAGATCCCGTGGGTCTTCGCAGTGCGTTCTACGGAGTGAGGGCAGTGTAGCTTTAATGCTGCGTTTGGGCAGGTGGTTGCATGGACCTGCAAAGGACCTTCGCTCTTGCCCTGCCAATACCACCCCAGCTCTCAGGAGAGTACAGACACTCTTCATTCATGCAAGTGCTGTCCTGGAAGTAGCTCTCAGATTGGAGAAGGGAAAGGTTTGCTCTCCACCCACCCTGAATGGGCTGATGGCAAGGACAAGGGCTTTACCCACACCTGGCTGACTGTCCTTTTGGATAGCCAGCTGAGCTCCACAGGTGCAGCTGCACATATGCTTTCCAGGCAGCTGGGATCTGGCTGAGGCCTCGCCTTTCTCTAGATACTTCTTCACTTCTGCCTCTGTCATGTGTCTTATCCTAGCTCCATCAGTGGCTTGCTAGCTCAGCCAGCATAGGAGTGTCACCTGTCCTTGAGATGGTTGCAAGGCTGGGTAAAGTAGGCATAAAGCCCAGGGCATTGATGCCACTGCTGTCGTTGTTAGTGGTGCGATGGTCATGGCTGTTCAGAAGCCTCCAGAGGCTGAGGCTGAGACTCTGGCCTCGGATGAGCTTTTGGCCTGGTGTCAGTGGGGGCTGGGGCCTCTGGCTGTGCCTTATTCAGCAAAAAGCCCAGAGCCTACCACATACCCTGTGCTGTGGAGTCCTATATATGATGTAGGAATAGGAGAAATCCTAGACCAGTGAGGCTGACACTGGACCAGGCCTCTGGTGTCCTGTGTAGAGAAGGCCTGGACTGTTGGCCACCCCTGTTGCTGAAAGGCCTCCAAGGTCTTGTCTGGCTCTGTTTCTGTTGGAGGGAGGCGTCTCTAGTGGAGAAGAGAGGAGAGCATTGGTGACCACATGAAGGGTGGTTGCCAGCCCTAGCCCTGGCCTCTGGGCTCCTAGTCTTTGAGTCAGCTGACTTCCTAGCCAGGGCTGACCACTTCGGGAAATAGCTGAGAGTCTTTGTGCTCTAAGAAGGACCAGTGTTCCCTGGACTGCGTGTCTTTAGTATGATGCCAGCTCCTGGGTCCTGGTCTCTTGGCTTGTGGCTCTCCTCTGGGAAGTGGCGTGAGGACAGCTTCTGGAGAAGTGACTGCCTTCCTGGGCAGCTCTGCTCTTGTGCTGGGGCAGGACAGCTCCCCAGAGAAGCTGCCAGGGAGCACTCTGCTTTCCCAGTGCCTCCCCCTCATCTTCTCCCCTTTGGGCCTCCCTGGCCAGCTGACCATCTGCTGGGATCCTCTGCCCATTCCTGTTGGTGTTAACTGACTCCCATCCCTGTACCCGTGGGACTTGGAACTGCTGCCCACCTGCCCAGGAGTGGCCTTGAGCTCACCCTTCCCCTGCCCAATGCTGTCCCTTTGCGTGGTCCTATGGGACACTTGAGGGATGTTGGGCTGAAATCAGGGTCCCAGTCTTACCTACCTGGCAGCATTACTCTCCCAGGGGTTTTGAGAGCTCCTGCCGCCTCTCCGTCCACCCCGTCCTCCCTGCACCCCCTACCATCCCTCCATTGCTGTGTGTCCATCTATGGCTTCCCTGTGCAATAGAGCTGCTGGGCAGTGATGTTCATTGCCAGTCTCCCCACAGCAGGCAGCAGAACTCGGCTCGGGCACGGTCAGTATGGGAGCAGCGGGCCAGCCAACTGCGGCTGCAGAATCTGCGTGCCAGCTGTGAGGCGCTGTACAGTGAAATGGACCCTGAGGAGCGGCTGCGCTATGCAACCTCGCGCCACTTGCGGCCTGACATGAAGACACACCTGGATCGGCCACTGGTGGTGGAGCCTGGCCGAGATGGACCACGGGGTCCTGCAGGAGGTAAAGCACGGTCGGAGGGCACAGAGACCACAGAGGCTACAGATGCACTGCGACGGCACCACCGGCACCGTGATGCAGACAAGGCCCCAGCTGTGCCGCCCTCGGCCACCGAGCAAGACCGGGACAGGGCCGATGGTGCAGACCCTGGGTCCCGGGAAGAGTGTGTGCGCCCACGCCACAGCCACAGCAAGGAGGCTGCAGGCAGCCAGGAGGCCCAGGGCGAGCATGGCCGAGGTCCTGAGGGTGGCCGACGCCACCACCGTGTTCACCGGCATGGGCCCAACCTGGGAAAGGACAAGGATGGTACTATGGCCAAGGGTGAGCGGCGAGCGCGGCACCGGGGCACCCGTACCGGCCCCAAGGAGGTGGAAAGCAGCGAGGAGCCTGGGCGTCGGCACCGCACTCGCCACAAGGTGCCCCCCACACAGGAGGCAGTGGAGAAGGAGGGCGAGGCCCAGGAAAGAGAAAAGGAGGTCCGCAACCACCAGCCCAAGTATGTAAGGGCCTGAAGTGGGGCTGGTGATGGGCAGTGACCAGGGATCAGGCTCCCGTTTGTTCATGGAAGGAGGCGTGGCCTGGGTGATGGGATGTGGTAACCAGGCCAGGCAGCCCTTATTGCCCCTATTGGCCCCTTTCTCTGGGCAAAATGCTCAAAGCTACCTGACTGAGAGTATGCTCAGCAAGTGTCAGTTCTCATTTTAAGCTGCCCCAAGGAACAGAGAGCTTAGGGGAGAAGGGTTGTGCTCAGGATGCATTGACCAGGAAGAGCAGAGTAGCCTAGCACTGTGGAGGAGGGTGAAACCACAGACCCTGAGGGAGACCAAGGGGGCTGCAGGGCAGGGCTGTACATCTGGGGGGACCAGGCTGTGTGGCCATGGTGCTGCAGGAGGCCTGGAAAGGAAGCCTGGAGCCTGGGGCCAGCATCTCCATGCTTGCTGATGGGCCACACGCCCACCAGGACATGTGTAGCTGGACGCCACAGCCCAAGACCAGCCGGAAGAGGCCCCGTCTTAGGGTGCAAAGTTCTGAGCTGGGCCTTTGGCCTTTTGGGACACTTGGGAAGCATCCTGCTCTATTCTGCTAGCAGTTCTCTTCTGTCGACCTCCATCTCCTATGTCTATGTGTGCATTTATACATATGGTGGTGCCCGCAGTGCCTGGCTGTGTGCCAGGGACAGGGACATGGGTCAGCTCCATACATGGACCTAAAGGCAGAAGTGTACAGCATGGTAGGAAGCATGCAAAGACAGAACAACAGAGGAAGGGGTAAGATTTGCTTGCCCTGTGTGCAGTATGAGGAGCCAGGTGTTGCAGACTGCATAGGAGTTTGAGATTGCATCTAGTCCTGATACACATTCTTGGTTGCAGGGAAACTCACTGTGACGTGGAGGCTGGTGGAATGATGGGTGTGGGCCCTGTACACACACTGCCTAGCACCTGTCTCCAGAAGGTGGAGGAACAGCCAGAGGATGCTGACAATCAGCGGAATGTCACTCGGATGAGTGGTCAACCCTCAGACCCAAGCACCACTGTGCCCGCCCCCGTGACACAGATAGGCCCTGCTGGGGAGACAACGGCCATTCCCAGTGAGTATCTCCCTGTGCCAGCCAGGCAAGGGCCACTTTGTGAATGTCTAGCTAGCCTTCCCACCTGCTCTCTGGAGGCTTCTTTGAATTGTTCTCTCAGCTGGCGAGAAAGTCCTTTGCTGTCAGCATCTGTCCCTTGATAGCAGTCGATATAACTGTTTAGAGACCTAGAGATAACTGGAGGTTAAGCTTCTTTTTTTTCCCTTCCAAAAATGTTGGTGATTACCAGGCACTGCATTAGGGTGCTAGAGTTCAGAGGAGGGGAGTAGAGTGTCAGGAAGAAGGCCACAAAATGGTCCTCCACCCTTTGTAGGTGCATAAATGCTAAGCACTGTGGTTGCCTGACTCGGGCTGAGAGCTAGTGGTTGAGGACTTCGTCCTGCCTCTGTATGTGCTCCCAAGGCACTTCTCTGAGGCTTCCCCAGGACTTTGCCTGAACTGCCCTTTTTTTTTCTCCAACTCACATGTACTTAGACCCAAGCTGAGCAGACACTGAGGGAGGGCATGGGTGAACCAGCCAGTCTAGTAGGGAGAAGCCTACAGGTAACAAACAAATCTGGGCACCTCCGGCAGTGGGGAAGGTGCCTGGACATCTCTTGAGTGCAGAGGAGAAAACATTCTGAGGGCACAGGGGAAAAACCGAACAAAGGCCAGCATAGTGTATCGCTGCGGAGCAGACCAGGTGAGCTTGCACAGGTCCCCTGCATGCATGCCCACATTTGCAGTAGCAGCCACGTGTGCATGTGTGACGGACCTGATCCTTTTGCTTAAGCCACTGCCCAGAAACTGTAGCCCAGTACATGATCCTAGGTAAAACAGTGGAAGTTTAGCTGCTCAGGCTGCTGTTCATCTTAGGTTCCTTGGAAGAAAACTGGCCATAGGCTCTTCACTTCTTTCAGCTGCTCATGAGAGCAAGTTAATTTTTGTCTTCTCAGACTCTTCATGTGATTTCCCCTGGATTATCTTAAGGATGAGCCCAGAATTTTTGGTCCAGAGCCCACCTGGTTTTTGTCCACAGGAGCCCAAATGTGGCCCCTTTCTGCCCTGCGTATTCCCTTGCAGACTATCTCTGCTGCCAGTCACTAATGTAGTTTGCCAAGGGCGTTTCCTTTTCTAGTGTGTTGCATACAGTATGCAGCCTTTTCAAATTGTCTTCTTTTTTATTCAAAAAGAACATTTTATTATTTATTTGGTACAGGGTTTTGCTTTGCCGCTTGGACTCCTAGTGGTCCTCCTGTCTCAGCCTCCCCAGCTCTGGGATTACAGGCGTGCACCACCGCGCCATTTTGATGGTTGGCACAGTGCATCCAGGGTGCTGAGACTGGCATGGCCTGTGGCGCTGGTCCTTGCACTTGCCAGGCTGTAGTGGTATAAGTCACAACATATTGGTAGAAGAGCAGAGCCTAGGAACAAGAGTATGAGAAAATGTATCATCTTGTCTGTTCTTTGCTCCTTTAACTGGGATATTGCTAACTAATGATATGTAAATTTACAGATTAATGGATGCCAGGAGGTGGTGTAAATAATGGATTATTTACACCAAATTAGCTATGCACATTCCTTAGCCTGTTTTTAGCCTTCAGTTAATGTGATTAGTTTCCTTGGCTCTGGGCTCACTTAGAGGGAGACTAATCTCAGTGAGACCTCTAAAGCTGTATTAATCCGGTCTTGTTGTTTCTTTTGGCTCCAACTGATACCATACAACACCGGGCAGGCGCTTAGGCCACTGAGCTATCTCCCCAGCCCTGAAATTGTCTTCCTTTACTGAGAACTATGCACTTTAGGTTCCTGCATTTCATTGTGGAGCTTGATAGCTTATTTCTTTTTAGCACTGAATTAAATTCCATTGTCTGGATCTACCACAGTTTTTAAAATCTATTTATTTATTGAAGGACATCATGCCTACTTCATTTTTTTTTGTAACCATTCATAAAACTGCTCTAGGCATTCATGTGTGAATATACATTTTTAAGTCACTGGAGTAAATACCTAAGAGCATGTTAATTGAGTTGTATGCTAAGACTTGTTTATTTTTAAGGAACTATCAATGATCTTTCAAAACGGGCATATCATTTGCATTTCTCCCAGCAGCAAATAGAAATTGTTGGTCCACATCCTTGCCAGAATTTGGTGGTATCAGTGATTTGGATTTTAGTCATTCTATTTAAGTGTATAGTGATACCTTGTTTTAATTTGTAATTTTCTGAGGACATATGATACTGGGCAGTTTTTACTATGCTTAGTTGCCATCTGTGTGTCTTCTTTGATGAAGTCTCTATTCTGGTCTTTGCCCACTTTTTAACTTGGATTGTATGTTTTATAATTATTGAATCTGAAGAATTCTTTTTTTTATTTTTATGAGCAGACTATATTTTTAAAAAATATTTATTTATTTTTATTTATTACATTTATTTATTGTGTGTGTGTGTGGCCAGTTCAGCCCACCAGGGGGCGGGTCTGGCTGGCATGTGGTGCTGGGGATCGAACCGCGGTCCCTGTGCTTTGCCAAGCTTGTTTCAAGTAGGTGCTTTAGACCACTGAGCCATCTATCCAGCCCCAGACTATATTTATTGAGAGAAAGAAAGCTCCTGTCCCGAGAGAAGGACGGGGGGGGGGGGTGAGCGGGTAATTCCCCCCCTTTTTTTAATTTGAAGAATTCTTGTAAGTGCTGGATATAAGTTTTTATTAGACATATGTGCTACAAGTGTTTTATCCCAGTCTGTGACTTGGCTTTTTATTCTTTTAATGTGATAGGCTTAGATTATTGCTGTTAGGGGTTGGGGATTAATCTGATCCTTGCTGTTACTTCTACTAGAAGCAAGAATCTAGACTACTGAATTTTTTTTTTTTTTTTTTTTTTTAAGAGCAGACTTTATTTACTGGGGGAAAGAAAGCTTCTATTCAAGAGCGGGACAGAAGGGGACCTGAGTAGGTTGCCAAGGAATCTGTCTTTTCTAGGGATTTTTATATAGCCATGAGATGAGGTGGTCTAAAGTGGAAAACATGAAAACTCACAAGGCAGTCATGAGGTGGGACAAAACTATGGTCCACCAGTAACATTGCAAGTATTAATTGCTCTGGTAAAATGGATTAAATCAGGATGAAATGGGGAAGCAAGTCATATAGCAAGTGGGCATGAATACAGAACAGGGGCTCTTCCTGTAGGGGATTGGGTTAGGGACTTCCTGGCTTTTTCAAGGTTATTGATACCTATATAGAATATCAATCTCTGATGTCTTTCCCAAAGGAGATATGTGACTGCATTTGTTTTATCTTTTGTCTTGATGTCTGGCCCACAGTGGAGGTGCCTGTCTCTCCCACAGTTACAAGGTGTCTTGCCTTCCATATTGGGTCTTTTGAGGACCTAACCCTGTCTCACTGCCGATAACATTTCTAACTCAGCTGCCTACAACATTCCCCCTCTAAAGAAGTAACGTGAACTGCCATGAAGGAATAATAGGCAATGACCGTTCTGACTTCTTTGGGATGAAAAGGGTCATAGTTATTGACTGTCAGGTGGAGATACTTTCCAGAGATTCTAGCTAAAGGCCCTCAGCATTTTCATCTTGGGTAGGTGAATAGTTTTAAATCTGGAGGAGATAAAGCCACCGAAATAGTGAAGTATGCATGGGCCGAATAATATCAACAAGATAGTTATGAACACAGTCAAAGATTTTCACCAAGAGGAGATATTAATGACTTTTTATAGAAGGTAAGGAAGGATAAGGTTTAAGGAAATATTGAATTTGACATGTTATTGATCTGTTATTTAATATCTTAAACAGCTATTGAGACATTAGCAGAAGGATTAGGAATGTACACCCAACATTTAGTTTTTATTACTGTGTAAGTACCTCCTGTACTGCTGTTAGAATGTCTAATTAGGCTATTGATTTTTGTATGTTAATTACATATCCTGTTACTTTTTTGAGTCCCAAAATTGTTTATTAGATTTAGTGTTGATTCTCTTTCTTTTTTCCAAGTCTATTGTCAAAATGTTAATAAATAGTGCTCTAACTCTTCCTTTTCTAGTTTTGGGCTTCTTGTTATGAATTGTTTAGTAGCTGTGATGAGTGAACGGGTGCCACTATGTTGTTTCTGCCTATACTAAATTGTGGGTTCTGGCGTGGGCCTGTCGGGCTGTATGCATGTATGATCATGTTAGGGTAATCCTTAATTCCTATTTCAGTAGATGTTTTATCTAGCAAAAGTACTGAATTTTGTAGGTCTTTTCAGTAGCCATCTATTTTTCCCTAAATACGGAGCTACATAGCAATGAATTCCCTAATGTGGAACTATCTTTCTAATTTAGCTTAACCTCATTTGGTTATTATATTTATTTCAATATACTATTGGATTCTGCTTAATATTTTATGTAAGATACTTGGATTGATGCTTTGAGTAAGATAAATTCTATAGCTTCCTCATATTATGTCTAAACATTATAAGTTTAAGATATCATGCTTTTCTTCAACTTCTCCTCTCCATTCCTGAAAATCAAATGTTTTGAGTCGGAATCCCATTTTCTATAAATTTTATTTCATTTCATATTCCATTCCATTCCCTTTTGTATTGAGAACTGAATCCAGGGGCCTCACACATTAGAGGTCTACACCCCTAGCCCTTTCCTGTTGCTTAAAATGTTAGTAAATTACATTGTGTTACATCTCAATTCAAAATCCCCAGTTTCCTAAAAGATAACTAAAAGTTTATTAAACGTAGAAAGTTACTATCTTATTAGAACATAAAATGTGTAACATTTTTTTCTTGACCACCTGTTAAAGTAGCTACTAATAAGTGATTGCTTTGGACACCTTTATTGAAATTATTGAACTTTTGAAAAACATATACGTAATTCTACTATAGTTTGTTTTAAAATCATTACTTTCTATCATTTTGTCTTTATTGTTTTCCTTCTACTTCATTTTACTTTGCTGTTTCTGTTATAATTTTTTTTGTGTGTTTTGAGACAGAGTTTTGCTATGCAGTTCAAAGTGGCC